CACACACACACACCAAAACACACACACACACACAACACACCACCCCCAACACACACACAACAAAACACACACACACACACCACACACACAAAAATCACACATTTGCACATGCACACACTTGCACATGCACACACTTAAACAACCACAACACACACACACAAAATGCACACACAAAACACATGCACAAAACATGCACACACATGCACACAACACACACACACACACACACACACCACACACACACACACACACACACACACACACACACACACACACACACACACACACACACACACACACATTTTCACTCTGTCACTTTCTCACTCTCACTCTCTCAATTGTTTTGTAAATATTGAGTAAATGTATGTAGCATATGCAGTTATTATTCAGCTCGAACTACAGTAAATGATGAGTCAGCACAGTCTATGAAAAATAAGAATTGTAAGAAATATATGAAACAGTAAGAGCCACATCATTTGATGTGTTTCTCAGCTCAAGAGTTCAAGCAATAGTGACTCTCGGTAACTCTCAGGACATGTATGACCCAACACATTGCTCATATATAAATATAAAACCAATTTCTGTACTTGAATGAAAATTGATCAATGTTATGACTGTTTATTATCAATACTGGAAACTTACCATCCAGCGGAATTGGAACACTTGTTTGTATTTTCTACAGTAGCATTAGTACTTTAAAAAAGTTTATGTATTGCCTACAGCATTTCTATTTAATTTTGGTCATGTGTAATTTGATCACTTGATGTCTCCAAAATCAGAAGGAAAACTCCATGATTTACATTTGCTTAGAAGTGGTTTAAAGTTCCTGGATATGTCTGGTTGTTGCCAAAGTGTCAATAGTTATCATCTATTGGGTTGGCAAAAATGCTCAACACAATGTTCACTTTGCAAATACTGGAGCAACATTTCTTTATAAAGTATTCAGAATTTATGTTTTTTAATTAATTTTGTTAATTGAGTTAAAATTTATTGATTTACAATGTTGCAGCTCGGAATGTTCTCAGACCCGAAAGTTCTCTCGACTAGTGGAGGATATGTTTGGATTAGCGAATGTTGTGGGAAGAAATATGTATCGGTTTACAGTGGCTCAATTTTTGGGTCAACTCCAATTGATAAAGTACCTCCAACGTCCGTACTCAAGCTGGTGTATCACTGGGCTTGTCAAACATCCATCAGTAATGTGGAGTCATGGGTTAAGGTAAGCTTTTTAAAGTGTGCTTTCAGTAAAACTTGTATGTATTCAGTGAACTGTGCAACTTGAAGATGAGCTCCATTTGTGACCCCATCAACCATCACTACTTTGCTTCACTTGTTTCCTAGCTTCCTGGTTTCTAACACATTTTTTTTATCAATGCAGGTAAATTGTCTCCTACCTCTTCTTAACCTAGTTAATTACTCATTTTGTTCACTTACATTTTTGCTTCTAAATGTGGCTCAGCAGGGGAGGTTTTCAACTGTTATATATGTTCCATTTACTGTGCTCTCTACCACGTTATTCCTTGTCTAGCATATCTTTATCTAGGAGTCATCCTCAAGGCACTGGTAAAAGGTCAGTTCTGCATTGCTTATGACATTCAAGACAACCAGGGCTCAATTACATTATTATTATTATTATTATTATTATTATTATTATTATTATCATCACCATCATCATCAAGGGACTAAACCTATAATGGTCACAGAATGCCAGGAAAATCTTAAGTATGTACTCAGATATCATATATCATAGAATGTTATGAAAATGCATCAGTAAAAGTGAGAAGAGTGTTGCTAGCATTTAAAATCTGAAGTATATAGTAAGTGTCCTTATGTATTACAGGTGGATAAATCATTTATCAACAAAATGTATCAATACATGAGATGCATTTCTTCAGTAATGCTTCAAGATAAGGTTTATGACTTTGGCTTTGATGGTACAACTGTGGAACTTGGCATTGTCAGTCTTGGTACCAGTACAGCAGATGGTACCAAAAAGGCAGTTAAGGTATGTATATACTCTCTGGATAGTCTCATATAGTATGCATGTGTTAAGTCTTTGAGGCTCTGTGCTGTAATTCTATGGCTTTGAAGCCAGGGTCAGTGCTGTAGTTCTACGTGATGAGCTCAGCTCACTCAGATAAGCTATGAGCAGTCAATTTGGGCCTAGATATGAGAGAATGCATCTATGTGGTAAGCATGCACCATATAAAAAAATCCTGCAGCATGCAGTGCATTATGAGAAAAAAAACTGTGACTGTATTTTTGGTATAACCCTTTCAGGGTCCCCAGGCCCTCTCCCAGACTTGTTCTCAGGGTCACCCAAATTTAAAAAAAAAAAAAAAAAAAGTTTTTAGGAAAAGATAGAGAATCTTTTCCCGGTCATAATGACACCAAAAGTATGAAATTTGATGGAAAACTTACGGAATTATGCTCTCGAGAAGTTAGTGGTCTTGACGATGTTTACGCATCGACGATTTTGCCCACTTTGAGCCCTATTTTCGGCCAATTCCAGTGTACTGGTCGACAAAAATCATAACTATTTCGCTATACCTCCATTTTTTCTATCGAATGAGTACAAGAAACCACCCATTTACTGATTTCAACTATCCAATACAGTGGTCAGAATTTGGCAATTTTGCCAATTTCACACAAATTTCAAAAAGATGCCAATTTTCAAATAGGGGCCCGAATAAAAAAAGAAAGACATCCGGCACTAAAATAACATTTCCTCTGTTCATTAGTCATGTCCCCACGCCCTTCTTACATTCTTTTGCTTTCCACTTCGGATTTTTATTCTCACAAAAAATGGGAAGTTTTAAAATGTTATGCGGGATTCTGTTTAGGTAGAAGTAGTATAAAAATATGGGCGCATTTGTGAAAAAAATTAGATTAAACCAGTTAAAGATTTTAACTCTTGTAGCGTGAGCTATGGTTTTTCTTCACCCCTTCGACGATATCGGGGGCCTTGATAAAATTTTTTTTGGGGGAAGTGCCCTTGGATGCCATGCCTTCCATAGTCTAGAAAAACGCAAAAAGGGTTTTTTTTACACTTTTTTCCCCCAAGATTTCTTTATTTTTCACTTTTCTTATCACTAAAAAAACGTTCAAAAACCTTCTCGGTAAGTGTTTTTTTTGGGGTTTTGGGGGGACACTTTGGTTAACACTAACCACAGATGTTTTTTTTGTTGGTTACCTGGCATCAGGGGTCACTCCAGTAGAGTCAAAAGAAAACTGAAGACCCCACAGCGCCCCACGCCGTTCCCTCCCCCCCAGTAAAAAGGGGAAAAGCTGCCCCTAGTATTTTTTGCTTCCTTGCCACCCCTCGTTGAAGCAAAGCAGAATTTTTAAAATTTTTGGGCGGGGTTTAAGAATAGACAAAAAATGTCCCTATTTTTAAATATGGAAAAAAAAGTGGGAACGGAAATTTTTTTTAAATTGTCCTGCTAAAGTAAGAGTGTCGGGGTTTTATTAAAAAAACACTCTGCAACACGGGATGCAAGGAGCACTGTCGCTTAAACCACGTCGCTATTTCCGCCCTGCATCTGAAATAAATTTACCACTGTGCAGTAAACAAGACGTTCCCCCTTTCTGAGAGAAGGTGGGCCCCCCAGGGCTAAAAGGGGGCCAAAGGGGACTGAACCCCCTCCTGGAGAAAATTGTTCTCCACACGGGGGGGCCCGGCAGGGGTTTTCGCTGAAAGGTAAACTTTTAATCATTTAAACATGAATTTGATTTTCTCACTCGTAAACCCACTGTTTCTTGTCTTTTCTGAACGCTTTAGCCCTTGTGTTTTTCTGGAGAAAAAAAAATTTTTGTTTTCAACACTGTGTAATTCTAACGGCCTGGGTTTTTTTTTTTTGGGCCGTTTAAATTAAATACCCCTTTCCCCAAAAACATCAACTGTCCTGATAATTCCATTTGCATTAGGATTTTAGGGGTCACTTTTTTTTCCAAGTGGCCTTTGGGCCCTTCAGACCATCATTGTCAATAATCACTATGTCCCCTGGTTTAAAGGGAAATTAAAGATTTTCGGGAAACCACCAGTTCCATGGGAATGTTTAACTCAATGAGGGAGTTTAGTCTTCTGCCAAATTTTTGCCCCAACTTTCGTCAATTTTTATTAAGGTGTTTGAATTTACGCCTGAGTTGTTCGGTTCGAAAAAGTAGGTTTCCTCTTGATTTTTTTTATCATTAAATGGGGGGAACAATTCGACCCTTCTCCCATTGAGAAAATGAGAGGGATTTAAAACACTTTTAAATTGCCCCAGTTAATGGGTTAAAAAAAGTTAGAGGTCTGTTGACTATTTTCTATTTCGCCCAAAAATGTAGGGAATTCTTTTTAAGTCGTTTCTTTGACGTGAAGAGTTTTCCCTTTAAAACAACTTTTTTACAATCCCCGATCATTCTTTCATAAAATCCGTCGTGCCTGGAGATTTAGGAGGAAGTACCCCAAAAACCCCCAAAAACTGCGTTGATTAAAGCTCTGTTGTACTTCTGGTTGTCAAAGATCTTGCTTATATAAGCGCCCCAGAAAAAAATTTTCGTTGCGTTACCCTGAAATCATAATTTTGGGACATCCCCCTTTGGGCTGCAAACCTTCTGAAAAATTTGAAAAAAGGTTACAGAAAACATGTCAGGGGCCCTACTTCAGATGTACTCCCTCAGTTGTAAAAACAAGTAAAACAAACAGATGTAAAACCTTGATGGGAAATTTTTGTAAAATTTTTTGGGTTTTAAAATTTTGGTCCAGTGAAAATCTACACCTGCCCACCTAAAATGGGGGTGATTTTTGACAAACTTTTTCAGAAGGATATGGAGGGCCCTGGATACTGACAACTCGCTTTCGTATTGATGACAAGAAATAAAGTCCTTTTTTTGGGCTTTTTGCTTTTTCCCCTTTTTGTCGCCCTTTTGGGGTATCCTTAGGATTTTTGTATAGGGGAAAAAGTGTCGCTATTTTCCCCAGGGTAACACGTTTACTGTGGGCGTTTTGCACAATCTTTTTTGGGTTACCCAATGATTCTTGGGGATCAGTTTTTGGGATTTTAGGCTTTTTTAAAGGTAGGGGAAAAATTTTATGAATTCCTCCGACATCTTATAATCTTTTTGATCGAGAAAAAGCCCCTAAAGAATTATTCTTTACGGTTTTTTTGGGGGTTTATCTTGTGTTTCCAGAAATTTATTTTTGGGTTAGAGAAAAAAAAAAAACTTTTCTGTATTATTTTCACCCAGTTTTAATGGGTTCAAGACATTCATAATCAGGTTTTTTTCCCTTTTAATTGAATTTAAAGAAAGAGCGAAAACCTTAAGATTTTACCCAAAGTGGTATTTGATCCATCAATACCTTTTGTTGTGTCTGCAATTTTACAAAAAATTATTTCGGCTGTTTTTTAAAGCAAAACTTTTTTTCTTCGGGGCAAAAGTGAGTTTTTTGCGAGGAAATTTTTTTTCTTTAAGAGAGCCAGTTCGGCCCGTGGGCCTTTAATTTATTATCCAAAAATTTTCCCTTGGGGGGGAAAACACCAGGGGACAACATTCAGCGGGGTTTCTCTTGGGAAGAGACGGGGAGAAAGAGATAATCTCTCTGCCCCCTTTTTTATTTCTGCTACCCCTGTTCGGGACATGCCCAAAATTTTACTCTTATTTTTTCTTAACCATGGAGAACTGCTTCCCATTATCACCCCAGATCACGTTTTTTTCAATAGTGAGGGGAAAAAATTTTATTTTGTTGGTTTGAGACCCTAATTTTTTACTACATAGAGGCTGTCATTTCCCATTTTGGAAATGTTTGACCTTCAAGGGTGCTCCCCTTTGCATTTGAATTTAATTATTGTATTTTCCTTCGAAAATTACTAAGGGTAAGTTTACAGCCCCAATAACCTCGGGTTTTACGAAATCACAAAAACACATGTAATGTGTACTTTTTTTTTCCCTTTGACCTTTTTGTCTGGGAAATTTAATTTGATGAAGTTGTTTAAAAAACTCCCGGAAAATTTTCCCCCGTTTAAAATCATTTTTTGAGGCAATTTCTTTTCCCAATCCAATTTTGAGCTTCCATGCATCTTGAAATAACCCATTTTTCCCTTTATGGTAATTGGTTGAAACGAGGCCCCTAGAGGTCAAAACATTTTTTTTTCCTCTGAAAAGTAAATTTCTTTTTAGTGAGTGTATTTGAAATAAATTTATTATTTACCCTTTTTGGGAGACTCTAAGTATTTTCCCTGTGTGTTCCAATTAAGTCCCAGCATATTTTTTGCAATCAGGTTTTAAAGCTTCACAAAATTTTCTTTGATAATTTCCCAAAAATTTGCTTTGAATTTGTTTTCCACATCTTAAGGCATATTTGTTTTCTTTAAAACCCCTTTTTTAAGCTTCTTGTAAAAGGGGATTTAAAATCCCTTCTTTTTCACAGTCCCCCGGGAAAAATTGTCCACATAAAACTTTTTTTTAAAAGGATTTTTTTGGGAAGGGACTTTCAATTTTTTCCCAAATGTTATTAGATTTGTTTTCTAGAAAGAAGGGAGAGGATGTTGCCCCCAAATTTTAAAACTGTTTGGGAAACGATAATTTTTAACAGGATTTGGGGGATCAGGGTAGTTTTTCGGGGCCCAAACAAGAATCGAGTATAATCTCTATTATTTCTTTTAGTCCTACTTTTTAAAAAAACTTTGGAAATTTTGGGTCGTGTAGGCTTTAGGGGTTTTGTGCGAAATTTTCCCAAAAAAGCCGTCCCCAAGTTTTCTAAAATTTTGGGGGTCCGGCCCTTCAGACAGTCATTAATTTTTTTGCTACATCTTTATTTGCACGTGCGCTGCAATTATATACAACACGTAGTGGGGGGGGGTTTTTGGGGGGGTCTCCATGGGGGGGGGGGAAAATAATGAGCTTCTGTCTTCAACTTATCTTCGATTTCTTTTCCTAAATGAATTTTTTTGTCCAAAGTTCTTTTTTGAATTTTTATAAACAGTCATAGCTCTGGATTCTTCCTGACCCCGTGTTTTTGGT